AGGAAGGAGGAGCGGATGAGGAGGAGGGGCGGAAAAGGAGGGTGAGGGAACAGAGGAGGAATAGGGAGAGTGACAGAACGAAGAGGAAAGGGAGAGTCGACGGAGCAGAATGATGAGCAGGAGAACGAAAATGGGGAGGCAAAGGAGGAGGAGGAGAATGAGAGAAATAATAGGAAGGAGGGTACGTGAGAGGAAGGGTAATGGCGAGGATGAGTGGGAGGGGAAGGCGGGGCGATGGCAGCAGCATCAGCAGCGGCAGTTAGCTAATATCGTAATTCGGGGTACAGCTGCAGCAACAGCATGCCTCAACGCTCGCGCATTGTTCGCTCTTCTCACTCCACTGACTCCCTGTGGGACGGCGGGAGCTGGTGACCCTCATCGTTCACGCGTGGCCGCCACAGAGAACGACAGCCTCCCTCCTCTACCCACTCACTCACCCAGCCAACCAGCCCGTCTGCCTGCCCGCTTGCCAGCCCGCTCAGCCTGTGTGTAACGGGGTCGTTGTGTGGTGTGTGTGTGTACACACGCGCAGTAGCAGTAGCAGAGCGGTGCGGCGCAGTTGACACGCAGTTGTTGTTGCTGTGCTGACTGTTTGTGGTCGCTGTCGTGTTCTACTGCGTTATCGCTGTGGTTATCCGTGCGTGCGTGTGCGCGTCCGTGCGTGCGTGCGTGCGTGCGTGCGTGCGTGCGCGTATATGCGGTGTTCCATGCCGTATGTGAGACAAACATCACGTGCGGTCGAGCGTTGACATCGTGTCCCACCGACGACGGGTTTGCTCAGTCGCTGATTCATCTTATAGGTATATGGCTTCATCATGGCTTCATCACCTGTGTGTGTGTATGTGCGGAGACCGACATCGTCATCGTGACGGAGAGGGTGCAGCGACTGCGCGGCTTGTGAGGTAGGCTTCGTTCGTTCGCCCTTGTTCTTCCTTCTTCTTCTTCTTCTTCTTCTTCTTCTTCTTCGTTCGTCCTTGTTCTTCCTTCTTCTTCTTCTTCTTCTTCTTCTTCTTCTTCTTCTTCTTCTTCTTCTTCTTCTTCTTCTTTTTCTTCTTCTTCTTCTTTTTCTTCTTCTTCTTCTTCTTCTTCTTCTTCTTCTTCTTCTTCTTCTTTTTCATCTTCTTCTTCTTAATTCCTTCTTCTTCTCTCGCATTGCTGGAATTATTTCCTCTCTGTCATTCAGGCCAGGCTAAAGTCAGCTCTCTCTCTCTCTCTCTCTCTCTCTCTCTCTCTCTCTCTCTCTCTCTCTCTCTCTCTCCCCCTTCTCACTCGCCACTTTCTCTCTCTCTCGTTTCTCCTTCTCTCTCTCCTCTCTCTCGTCTCACTCTCTCTCTTCTCTCTCTCCTCTCTCTCTCTCACTCTCTCTCTCTCTCTCTCTCTCTCTCTCCTCTCTTTCACTCTCTCTCTTCTCTCTCCTCTCTCTCTCTCTCATCATCTCTCTCTCTCTCTCTTCTCTCCTTCTCTCACTCGCCTCACTTTCTCTCCTCGCTCCTCTCCTTCTCTCTCTCTCTCTCTTCTCTTCTCTCTCTCTCTCTCGCCTCTCTCTCTCTTTCTCTTCCCTCCTCACTCCCTCCCATCCCTCTCTCTTTCTCTCTCTCTCTGTCGTTTGTGCTCCCCATTTCTCTTCTTGTGCTGTTATTTTTGTGTGGTCTCTTTTCAAGACCGGCTCCCGCTCCACAGTTCTAGATGGATATATGAACACTGTCATATATTTGTCATATCAACCGCTCTCTCGTCATATACGCGCAACACAATTAATATAGATAAGTATATATATATATATATATATAGGTACGCACCTACAGAAACACACACGTGAGAGCATGAATGCATGACTGCGTCGCGTCGTGTTTCCCGATGGTTTTGCGGCTTTCAGAATTCGATCGTTGCAAAATTAATGTTTTCTGACATTCATCGCATTTGCGGCAACGTGAATGTCACCGATAGCCTGCTGATGGACGAGCAGCTGTTGTTGTTGTTGCTGGAGCCTGTCCCCGCTTCTCTCTATCTCGCCCCCCCCCCCCTCTCTCTCTCTCTCTCTCTCTCTCTCTCTC